TATAATTTTGTATATTTCAATAAAGTCGTTTTTTAAATAAACTTTGTTTGTACCGCCTGTTAGTTCTTGTCCTAAGCCAACGGATTAGAGCCAAACATTTCACTTTGTCTCGCTCTTTCACAGCGTTTTGGCCAACCAAATTTCTTCGGTCCACTTTGCCCCGGGTTCCCCTACGCCGCTGTGCACAAACAACAAAATGATAGACAAGCAAAAAACTATAATTTTGTACTTTGTGCACAGCGGCGTTTGTGCGGTGGGAGTTTTGCGGTGGCGTTTGTGCGTTTTTGCAGGGGAGTATTTCAACGGCATTTATAGAAAGTTATTACTAATAATAGGCAAAAGATAGTAGAGAAACATTAGGACTTTGGTAGTAAATACATTTCGTGTTTATATACCATCATTTTATTATTGAAACGTAATTCCTGTAAATGCCGTTCAAATGCCTCTGCAACGCACAATTAAGTACACCGTACGTACGCCGCTGTGCACAAACAACAAAATGATAGACAAGCAAAAAACTATAATTTTGTACTTTGTGCACAGCGGCGTTTGTGCGGTGGGAGTTTTGCGGTGGCGTTTGTGCGTTTTTGCAGGGGAGTATTTCAACGGCATTTATAGAAAGTTATTACTAATAATAGGCAAAAGATAGTAGAGAAACATTAGGACTTTGGTAGTAAATACATTTCGTGTTTATATACCATCATTATATTATTGAAACGTTCCAAGTGTGCGGTATGACTTCTTCTCATGACCCATCGTGACCTCTTGGGTGGATGAGTATTCTTGTTTAATTTTCTGCTTGCAAGTGCCATGTTTCTTACTTGGGTGTTGCTATTTCAGGCATTTGATTGCATTTCCATTAACGGCTTGGATAGACATGGCAACCGGTTGGTGGCGCATATAACACGTCTATGTGACAGAACTGCTGAGGTAGGCCTACATGGATCATTAGATGGGTTTCTTGTTTATGCGTTATCCTTCTGAAGAGTAAATGTTTTTCTTAGTATATGCTATTGAATATGAACATTTTCAAAAGTTTCCATGTTAGATCTAGTATTATATCGTTTACAAGACTTTGAATGATGAGTGAGAATACAGTGAATCAGTACGTCATATACTAAGTATCGTATTGTAGGCCTATCTATTCAATTATATCGTCAATAAGAACAATCATCTGCTACAGGTATGGTTGATGTTGAAGCTCGAAGATGGCCGTTACTTCCACTTTCCCGGGTTTCCTGACACAACTGTTTATAACACTGATGGGCAAACTTTCACTGCAGCAGGGCTGAAAATTGAAGTTTTAGAACCGCTGGCAAGGTGTAGAGTTACATTCAATGGCCGTCTCAGGTATTATGTCTAATATCTATTGTAGGGGCCTACTGTAATTATTGCATATCGAGGCGACCTGGTCAGTGATGTGCTAATTGATCTCATGCATGCGAATATCTGTGTGTGCGTGTGCAGCCATGCGCGAGTGCGTGTGCAGCCATGCGCGAGTGCGTGTGCGCGCGCGCGTGTAAGTGCGTGTGTGCGTGTGTGCGCGCGTGCGTGTGTGTGTGCGTGTGTGTATGTGCGTGTGTGTATGTATATATATGTGTGTGTGTGTGTGTGTGTGTGTGTTTGTGTGTGTGTGTGTGTGTGTGTGTGTGTGTGTGTGTGTGTGTGTG